CCTGTATCATGGTGGGCCTATTTATTGGGCTTGTAACTGTAACTTGTATATATATCCCCCGGTATCAATGAAACAATCAAGTCATTCAGTTTACCAAATTCTATATTTTAAAAATACTTTACAAGATAAATCTATTTGTCCATATATATATATATATACATACACACACATACACACACGTACAATTTGTCCTTAACCAATTATTTCTGCCCATATAATTAAAAAAAAACCTTCATTTGTAATCTCTCTTTCACCGGAGACTCTTGGAGAAGGAATTACAATCTCAAAATTTCAAAGTTTTTCTTAAGGGCATTATTAATAGGTTTAACAAGTCAACAAAGGTTACAAATAGTATAATTTAAGTTCTCCAAGGGTGTTACACATATGGTGTAAAAGATAATGAAAGAGGAAATCTTTAATCATTTTGCCCATGTTTTCTTTAATTTCTTCCTTTACATTTTGTTTTTTTTCAATAAAAATAAAGATTTAAATGCCGTCAAGATCACACTTTGATGTAAAGTCCACTGCAATCATGAAAGCATAAATATATATCTATGGATAATTTTTTTTTGATGGCATATCTATGGATAATTGATTTGCCTGAATTGGCTAGCACTGTAAATATTAAGCTTGTGGCGTTAATATTAATATTAGTATTTTAGATAATTTTAAATAATGAAGATTAAATTTAAAAATTATAAAGGTAAACACTATAAAAAAATAAACGCTGTCATTAAGTAGAATTTACTATTTTACAATTTGGACCCGAAACTTTACCACAAGTGTTTTACACGCCGAATAAATGGACCGGAAACATAAAGATAAGTTTCCTGATCTTGATTTTTTTTTGGGTGATTTAAGAGAAATGTATATTAGTGTAATGCCCTAAGAATTTCTTTTTTAAAAGCGAATTTTCACATCAATGAATAGTTCAAAATAATGTAAATAAGTAATTAAAAATAAAAAGTAAGATGAGATGTGATGCATGAAAGTTGATGGTGTTAAACCAACGTAATACTAAGTCACAATAAACGAAAGGACGGTAGATGAGGATACTTGTAACCCGGTTTGTTATTATAATATGAGGACCGATTACAAATTACAAGTCGTGTGGATTATTCATTGCATGCCTTCCTAATGAGGCTTTTGCTCCTATTTATAAGAATAGAAAAACACTTTTTAATCGCTACTGTTCATCTCAAAGCATCCTCCCGGCTAGTCTTCAAGCCTTCTGCGAATGAAGTCACGATCTCACGGGTCTGACCCCCTGACATTCACCCAATCAGATTATTGGGGTTGGTGAGGTCCGGTGGGGTCAGACTTCGGTACCTCTCGGGCGCCTGTGGACTTGCCGGGTGGTACCAGTGTGGGTTATACCCATGAGAAGGTAGGGCTAAAGGGGGATATTTTAGTCTATTTTGGAGAAATTAAAATATTTTATGGGACGAGGAAGATACAAATTAAAGTTGAAATGTTTTGTGAGACAGAGGAAGTGATATCTAATAGTTTGAAATGTTTTTAAATAGAGCAATGATACGTTCACAAATAGAATGGTCACAAACTTACTATTTATGGTTTAAATTCTTATTTTAAAATCATTTTAGATTATTTAAATTTTTTATTGAAGTTCACAAATAGTAAATTTGTGCATTTTGTGTTAGGAATTAAGCTCACATTATTTTGTGATCATTTTGTTTGTGAATCTAGCATTTCTCTTTTAAATATGTGTGACTTCATTTACAGAAATAAAACTAATGTTGGCTGCAATTTTTTGGGAAAATGGTTAAGGGTCCGTTTGGTATACTAAATTGAAGGAATTGGAATTGAATTGAAATTGAAATTTAATGAGATTCAATTCCATAAAATTGAATTCAGCAATTCCAATTTATTTTTTGTACTATCAATTCCAAATTCACATAAATTTTCTGTTATCAAATGCCAGAATTGGAATTGTTATCACTATGCCTCAATTCCAATTTCATACTTTGAATTCCATGTACCAAATGGAGGTTGAACAAATATGGTTTTTTTTCAATAAAGAATACCGAGTATATAGGACTATATTTGGGAAGATGGCCGGGAGAATTTTTTTTTAATTAAATGATTTCTGTATACGGATAAGAAGCCCATATCATGTCTTATATTGATAGCCATTTTATTCATTAATTTAACATATTAAAACAAAATTTTCAAAAATATCATGATAGTTGTACACTATTTATATATTGCAAGTTTACACTAACACTTTGATTTTCAAATAACGCCTAATATACGTGCCAAATTTTGTGATCGTATTGACCCTTTATGTAATTGTGAGCGATCAAAGTATTTATACAAAGCTCTTTGTGAACAAAATAGTGAACAAAAGTGGTGTACAAGTACTACTATTGTTTTAAAATAAATATTGTGGATGAACTGAATGGTGGTTCTATGGACTAAAATGATGGTTTGGTCGAGGTGAGAGTTTCACGAATAAAAATCATTTCGAAAAAGAATGAGCTCCATCCCCGGCCGGACGATCACTTAGAAAATTAAATTGAACTTTAATCGCAGATTAGTGACAGAAGGATGCACTTAGTACTTGCAGAAGTCATATGCTTAGCATAGTTGCCTCTCATCGCAGTTGTTATCTCAAGAATCAAATTAGGATCTTATCCCCTTGACACCCTTACCTTACCAACTGCGAATTGTCCACCAACATAAAAATCATTTCGAGAGTTAGCCAAACATTTTTTTCCAAATAATTTAGAGTCATACTAGACACTAGGTACAATATAAATTGTTCTTTTTCCATTAGTGTAAAACTGTGAATGCATCATTATTCGTCTCACGTACCACTAATTTACAAATCTGTCAACATTCTTGTTTTTATTTGATTTTCTCGGCTGACTTTTCATCTCATCATTCCAAAATTTTAACCAACAAATCCAAGAAAGTCCATAGATATTTCAACCACGATTTCATTAATTTTAACCCATTCTCCAACTTCAATCCTTTTAAGGCCCTTAGTTATTATCTAGGTGCAACAGTTGAATTTTGAAAATAAGCTATACAATGTTGAAATTCAAAAGCTCTAATGGTAGATTATTTAGTCTTGGTCCTAATCAGTTTGATTCACATAGATTCTAGGGAACGATATCAAAATTCCAACGTGTTCTTTAGTCTCTTGTGGGTGTCCTCAGTAAAGAGCATGCACTCCC